TACGTTCCACCTAATATTGTGGTTCTTTTAACATATCTGTTTGTGATCAGTTCCACCTGAGAATATTACATGTATATGTGTAGAACATGTAGCGTGTAACCAAAAAAGAATACTAGAAAGGTTTATATTTCTCGTTTATATATATATTCATCTATTTAAGTGTCAGTGTATGAAAAGAACGATATAAGACACAGAGAAGTGAAATGCCATTAAAACTGTATATATATATGTGTGTGTGTGTGTACATGCAACATAGAAGTTAAGTTTATAATATATAAATGCGTGCCTTGCAAAATATAACTACTATAGGAAGTGTATATAATACTGAATACATAGTAAAGCGGTACTGAATACATAGTAAAGCGTTCATATACACCAATGTTGAAATAGTAAAGTTTATTATCAATGGGGAAGAAAACCACAAATGACCTCCAAGATGTCTTAAATCTTTGGCACTTTCTACTTTATCGGGATTTAGATCCATGTGGACCTAGGAGGGTCAGGTGCAAACTTGACCTCTTCCTCCCTCTGCACTAGTGTGATAGATGCACTATTTGAATGTTAAACGCTAACATAAACGTGGTCGTTGAACACAAAAAGTTTCTAATATGGCAATAAGCGATATTTGGTTTATTTTGAATTTCGCGCACAGCTGCTCAAAGGCTATCTGCACTGTCTGTCCCTAATTAAGTTGTTATAGATCAGAGGGAAGGTAGCTAGTTAACACCACCAACTCTTAAGATACTCTTTTACCAACGAATAGTGAGATTGACCGTCACATTATAACGCCCCCACGGCTGAAAGGGCGAGCATGTTAGGTGATGGGATTTAATCTCACGACTTATGGATTGGGAGTCAACCGCCCTAACCACTAATCCATGCGGCGATAAGCAAGAAATAACCTGTATAGTTTCTCAGACCAGTTTTTGTTTCAACAGGATTGACTAGGCATTCTGACGAATGTCCAACCTCGCCTCACTCACTCAAGGAGGTTGTGATGGAGTGGGGAAGCCCCGCACCACAGCCAAGTTGAGAGAGGGGGGCAAGTCTGGGTTGAAACTGTTAGGTGATTGAGCAAAGCATCATCCACTTCTTGAACAATAAATTTAGAAAAAATCTTCGGTTTCTGAAGGAGAAATAATTACATCTTTCCAGTTTATATAGTCTATTAAACTGTATGGTTATTAAGTTATTATTATTGTTGTTATTTTTACAGTTCTGTATAGAACTTTTCACCGACTTTGCATTCTGAAGCCACTTGGTACAGAGGAAAAGCACCAACCTACTGTTTCCAGGGTTACCTCAATACTACACGAGTTGTCCGATTTTAGAGTTTTCGGGTATCTACAAAACTAGTCCCTAAGACCGATGCATGGATTAAATTGAATTTCCACTTTCCCCAGATTATATTAAAACTCTTTACCCATAAAAGTGATATATAGAATAATTCACGTTTACGAGTTTTTAAGATGATATGTAACCCTCACACTTCGCGTGTCGGACCGGAGAACACAAGTTCGGGGAAAACTTCTCACAGGAAACCAGAGTAAGAACGTTTTGAATTCTTTAAAACTGCAGCATATTTGAGGGTCAAACTGGAACGTTGGCGCTGAACACGATCCGGGAGTGTGGAGGGAGCGTTGTTTATAGGGCATTCCCTGGTAGCCTATGTTTCCCCACAGAATTAATGAGAAACCCACGTGCAGCGTCACAAGACCATCTGTTCTCACTTTTCCTTCGTTGTCATACCCTCCAAATGACCCGTGTCTTACTTTAACCAATAAACACATATAACATAATAGCCACACTTATATTTACTTTTTGTAACTGAAAAGATACTATGACTAATCTTCAATTTTCCTAGAAAAATGTCAAATATGTTATTAAACCTAACAATAAAAACGTATCGTATAATAATATTAACACTCACCGTGTTATTAATATAGCTGGTAACGATATCAGCCATCTTACCAGAAACTCACAATCAGCCTAACATTGATATCAACAATAATACCATCAATCTTATCAAAAAATTACCAATACGTCGAACTATATCAACTCACCTTAAAATGATGTTAATCATATTAACTCACTATCTAGTACTATCAATACCAAAAACTATATCAACACAGCCTATCAATGACATAAGTTATATAGTTTCATCCTAACAAGAATGTTAACTTACTTTGTAAGATTATCGATACCAAAACTATATCAATTCAGCCTAATCGTGACATTAGTCGTGTAGGTTTACACCACGGTAATGCCAAGTTACAATAAAAAAAAGAATGATATAGGTATCATGATATGAAATACAACACGGTTATGTATACTTAAAGGTTACTATACCCATCATTAGTCAAACTTAAGATCTTATTAAACCTAGAACTGGTTATGTAGCAATATGACAAATCTTCAAGTAATACTGTTATAAAAACTCAAGTACTCGACTAATAGAAACAACAATATAATTGCTATCCAAGTACATTTACCTATAGACTTTATTACTAACTGCACCCTCACCCACTTCATCAAGTATGATAATTGTACATATATAATATTAAATTTTCAATTTGAATATGTACTGTAATAGAGGCATCAACCATTTTTGTTGCCACACAGAGGCTAATAAAATTAGAAAATTTTACGATTATGTAAGCTATAAAGTTAACAATTTTATGTTCATAAAGGGTTACTAATGAAATCATCAAACCCACTGACTTCAGATGGAATACAAAATAAAATGTCACTACAGACTTCAAAATGAAGTTATCAGAAATAATAGTAACATCAACCACATTAAAAATAAAATTATATTGTTATATAACAACAAAACTGCCAATTAAATTGTCAAGATTAATACTACTGCTATAAATTGAAATAGATATGAGCTTATCAATAACATCAAATGGGATACTAGATAACTTCGTCCGTTTTAAGATGACCAAAACAGCTTTAAAAATAAAGAATAAAATCTAGTGGTTTATCCAATCCATCGTGAAATGTCAGAACTAGCAATTAAACTGTATATACTAACCATGAATCCAGCTTCTTTATTAAAGTAATAACCTTAATGTAAAGTAACAAATGAATAAGTTATCAGGATTTAAGAAAGTAATTTGTTTTTTAGGAGAAAAATCACGTTTATCAACCATCTTGCAATAACAGCACGTGAAACTAACATATCTAAGCAATACTTACATTAAGAAACTGAACAAATAGATTTGGTCTTATTTTGCAGCCCATCATCTAATTAACAAAAAAAAAAGTTAACATAATGTTTAGTAAGGTAAAGAAATTACCAAAAGTACTTCTACATATACTTTTACTAAAATAAGTTATTTTAATATACACACTTGCTTCTAACTGATGGAATAATGGGGCGAACGCTTTAACACTTGGGTGGCCACTCCTTTTGTCACTGTATCAAATTCGACATCCAGTTAATAGGAAGACATATAAGGACAATATGCCATTTTAAGGAAGAAGTTCGTATGGAAACAGAAGAGCTACTGATTGTCATTGTCAATGATTGATGAGAAATGTGATATTTCTTCTAACCTTACTCAACAGCACATTTGTACTTGTTAACTAAGCTTGTTTTTGTTTGTTCCAAAATTTTCGCAAGAAGAAACACAAAAGGCTATCTGAGCATAGCCATCCTTAATTTTGACTTGATAGACTAGAAGAAACGTAGCTAGTCAATGGAACCCAACGCCAACTCTTGACTGACCAACTAGTGACAGTTGACTATAACTTTTGTAACGTACCCACTTGCCCAAAAGTACGGATCGCGCTTTTATGGCAACGAATCACAAACTGTGAACCCTTACAGTCGCAGAACACTAACTATTAGGCCACTCTTCTACTTAGAAAATTCCATAAATTAAAAGTGGAACTAAAAAAACTGAGATGATAGGGAGAGAAATAACAAGATAAAAGTACATAATAGAAAGTGTACAATAAAGTAAAAAAAATGTAAAGACCGAAAAGTGGATTTCAAGAAATGAACATACAAAAACACGTTATGTTGAGAAGGAAGAGAAAAGGACCGTGAGCGTCGTTACTAACACAGAGTCCTGTGATCAATACACTAGAAATAACAAACCTTCAGTACTAGAGGTGTACAGTAGAGAAATAAAAACGTTGGTGTCACAAAAACACGAAAGCGAAAATTAGAATTTTAGAACATAAAAAACGGCGCCTTTATAATGGGATTATCAAAGATAACCCATTCTTGACGTTTGGCCCAACCTTCCAGACATATAAGAAAAGGAATACAATAGTTTCACAGCATAACAACAGAATGAATTCATACAACGTCGTTTTGTTTCCTTGAGACTGTTGAAACTGCCATAGAAAGTCGCAGTAACGTTGCTCTTTCCTCGCATTATGAAGCCTGGAAGCCGTATAACTTGTAAGCAAGTTTCTTCTGTTGTTAACGGATCAACCACCCATGTCCTGAAACCCCAACTGTACTGCGGCCGGCCGATCAACGCCCCTCTTTCCCGGCCATGGGTGTCTTGTTACCTAGGTTCATCGTCATTAAATGTGTCAGGCGAAGTCCTCTCGACAATTATAAGCAAATAAAAAAGCTTGGAGGAGCGAAGTCATCCACGTGGATGAAGTTGCAAAAGTTTCGTACTGGTAGGCGACAAGCGGGTATGACAGGTCAACAAACTGTCACTATCAATACGAGTAACTGTGGCGAGTTTGAGTTCGTTCGGCAGCTTGCAAAGCATGGTTAGGGTCATGTGGGCATGACTAATACCCAAGTGACAGATCTCGTGCATAATCACGTGATTATTGACAAACATTGGTTATAAAACACTCTACATAACGCTTTCTGTAGTTTATACGACTAAAAAAAAGAGTATTTTAGTTATCCATTAAATTATTTTTAGGTTGTCAGAAACCATGGATTAATAGCCTGAAATTAAATTGCTTCATTCATCACTGAAATCCATCTTAGATAAGGTGAGATTAGATTAGTCGCACACTGACTCATTAAGAACAGCCATTCAAGGTGAGTATCAAACAGAGTAATCCAATCTATAATGCTAAAGCTTTAGTCAGGTGGTCAACTAAAAAGACTGCTATCCGAGGTCTCATGACAGACACAATTATATCTTACTTTATATACTTGAAACCCGACTAATACAGTATCAGCAGGACAAAATAAACTAATTTGAATTTGTATTAAAATGTTTGTAAATGATTTCTTTGGTGTAATGACAACAAATTACAGAAGATGTATTAGATGCAAATTATTTGTTATACCACTGTTGTACGCTATATTTCTGTTATTTTAACTTACAAGTTTCGTATTGTTTGGTATAGGGAGTTTGTGGCATGTGTGATGCCTAGAAATTTCAGGAGTGTCTAAATTTGACGGGACGTGCACGTTACGGCTAGAAATTTCTAGATAGCTAGAGGGAAGATATTGTAGTAATATGAAAACATCATAGAAGTTTTTGTTGATAAGTTAGTCAGTGAGTGAATGAGTGAGCTAGTTAGTTAGTGAGTCTATTACAATAAGTTCAATCGATTACTGAGTCAGCAAGTGTGATAGTCAGCCGGTTTTGAGTTTGTTTTACAGATACAAAAAGAAATTGAACAAGTAAATGACTGTGTAATTATATTTTTGAGTTATGTTTTTCACTTATGGGCTTATATAACTTGTGATAGAAGAAATGAAAATACTAAACTTAAAACATGTCATCATTTGTATGTAGAATCAGAACTAGCAATTAAGTTATCAAAATGAATAATTGCACCTGATTGGGCTTATAGTTAATAATACTGCTATAACTGAAATAGAAGTAGTTTATCAACAAAATCAAATGGTTTAGTAAATCACTTATACTATTGTAGGATGAGCAAAGGTTTAAAAATATACATAAAACTCGTTGGTTTATCTAATTAATCATTTCATAAAATAGCAGAACTACTAATTGAACTAACCAAAAGTCAGCTTGGTTGCTAAAAGAATAAACTTTATATAAATTAAAAATTTATCAGAATTCATAAAGATAATTAGTTTTTGGCAGAAAAACAACGTTTATCAACTACCTTACAATAGCATCTGAACTGGATATATATGTATAAATAATAGTTTCAATAGCAAACTGAAAAAAGGGTCTTATTTTCCAATCCAAGATCTAATTATGAAAAATCTTCAAAAAAATGTTAACATGATGTTTTGTATTCTAAATAAATTACCAACAATGACTCTATTGACTTAAGTGATTTTTGTATACCCACTTGTTTCTATAACTGATAAAATGTTGGAACTTACAATGTGAACTCCTCAACATTAGGACGGCTATCCGTTAACAGTTACTTTCAACAATACCATCCCTTTTGCCATGGTAACAAATTCGACATCTGGTTAATAGGAAAACAAATGAAAACAATGTTTATCGTTAAAATTTTTTTATGGAAACAGAGGAGCTGCTGACTATCATTGTCCATGATTGATAAGCAGATTGATTGCTAAGCTTAAAATTATGCAATAGCACATTTGTACAAGTCAACTTAGCTTTTTTTGTTTGTTTCAGAATTTTCGTGCAAAGCAACACAAATGGTTATCTGGGTATACCCATCCCCAATTTCGAACAAATAAGTTAGAAGAAAATCAGCTAGTCAAGTACCAACTGCCAACTTTTGGGTTACTCTTTACTGACCAACTAGTGGGATTTAGTTGCAACCATTATACCCCACCCATGGTCCCAAAGCGTGGAGCATATTTCTATAGCAACAAGCCATGAAACATGAACCATCGGATCCATAGACTAGCACACTAGCCACTAGGCAACACATGGCTAGTCAACTTGGAAAATACGTCAAATTAAATTTGGAAATAAAAAAAACTACAGAGATAACAGAGAGAAATATAACAAAACAAATTACAAGAACATAACAATAAGTATAAAACCAAATTAAAAATGCACAAGCAAAAGTAACCGTCCCCGTTGACTGGAAATATTTAAGTTAATCTAGCAAAAGTACCCGTCCCCAGTGAGGGGAAAAGTTTAAGTTAATGTAGAAAATTGTTTTCAAGTTAATCTAGCAAACGTACCCGTCCCCAATGAGGGGAAAAGTTTAAGTTAATGTAGCAAAAGTACCCGTCTCCAGTGAGGGGGAAAATGTAAGTTAATCTATCAATTTAAATTATTTTATGGACTTTAAAAAGGTAAGTTGTGTTGCACTCTTGGTTTCTCAGAGCCATAGCTCTGAGCTACTTATACCACCCACTGTGAAAAGTAACTGTTGAGCATTTCAGTCATGCTAAGAGCCATTCAATAATAACATACAGTAAATCACCACTTTTATTCTTTAAGTTATGTCACAATTTGAAATGTGAATGATAATGTGATTAATTCCTAACAACTTAGTGTGGAATACCCTGCTTGCGAAACAAAATTTAACATTAACATTATTCATGCCTGTTCTCTCGTCATTTCAAAAGTGAACGCTAAGCTTTGCTTGCGTATGCAGCTTTTCAAACGGGAGACAGACAAATGCTCGGACAGACACCACAGTTCGCAATATATATAGATGAGACCAAAAATCGTATTTCGAGAAAATAACATGAAAAAACAATATATGGAGAAAAAAAAAAAGACAGTGAGCCTCTTGACTAACACGGGGTTCTCCAATAAACACACTAGAAATAATAAGCCTTCAGTATCAAATATACTTAATAAAGAAATAGAAAGGTTGTTACTATAGAAATAAGTCTTCTGCATATTTTTTGTAACTATACCTGATTTAATGTTTTACATGTATTTACAATCACTCTTAAATTCTACATTTTCTGTACCGTGTGCAGATTACTCTTAGCTAGTGACACCTTTTAATTTTTACAGGTTATCTTTGAAAAAGACGCTTTGTATATATACAACTTATGTAAAACATTGCACTTTGTAGTCTTTGTAAATTATATATACATAAAAATTACTACACTTTGCAACTGTTATTGCTTATTTATTTTAGAAGTTACGTATGGCATGTTTCATAGGTTAGTTTATTAACGCGCGAGATAGTCCTAAAGGCTAGTTTTCTCCAGGGGAGGACCATTTATGTTCGGATCTATTCAGTGGATAAGCTACAACTCACTGGTGGAGTTCCCAGTACGCCATGTCGTCATCTAACGTGCCATCCACAGCAAGAAAGTCAAAGTTTCCAGCATCTCTATCTTCACATTTGATCCAAATGCCAGAAATGTCTAAAACTAATCAACTTACCGAACATGCTGGTGACATATAAGGAAAGACACTTGAAGTAGTTTCCTTCAACATGTGTGAACCAGTTTTCCTCAACATGTTTGAAGGATTAACGCAGTTCAAGACTGGGCACATCCTTTTTATCTAGAACAATGTTTCACAACCATCGGTTTGCAGACTGGAATCGGTCCATTACAACCACTCTTGCCGGTTCGTGGGATTTAAACAAACAAACAAAAACTGACAGAATATTCATATGTAAATCGTAATTGTTTTTCGTTGTACTTCTATTTTAGTGGTCCATGACTGTTTGGGGGAAGCAGCTAGCTGGCCCTGGTAGCGAAAAGGTTAAGAAACCTTGGTCTAGAATGTGTAATAATACTGAAGTTTTAATAATTCTGTGAATAAAGATACATTCACACACAATGAGCTAATCGAACAAATAAAATCTATCAAGCTTCGTTTAACTTCTTTTCTATTTAAATTAACCACTCAATTTTCCTCTCTGAAAAAAAATCCTGCTGCAGTTTTTAGAATTCAGCTTTTCTAAAGTTAAGGACACTACTCTTTATTATTAATTATACAACTGGATTCACTGAAAGCATCAAAATTGATAATTTTGTGTTTTCGCGTACGCTTGTTCAAAAAATTTCTGACTATATCATTTTCAGCGCTAAGAAAAACTGAAGAAACACTTATCCACAAACTCAAGAAATTCTCCATCCTCGTCTGATGATAATAGTTACCCAATCAATTTCTCTAAAACTGAAGCCCATCATGATGATGAATTTATTTCTGTTGGAAACGTAACTAATCTATCTGTGCTTATTTCTGTCAGTATCAATAACCTGATCAGTCTATAGGAAATACCAACGAGCAAAATTGTTCTTTTCTTTCAGGAACTTCAACCCTGTTTGTAATGTCACTTACACCACATGTATAATCCTCTACTGAGTGTCCTCTCTATTTCTGGCTTAGTAAGAGATGTTGACTTAAAACTAATTCGGGCAACAATAATAATTTAATTCAAATATATCACTGACTCCTACTCTGTCAAGTAGGTAACTTGCCCTGATCGGAAGTTAATGTTAACTTTACTGATCTGTCTGATTAAAACGAAACGTTAAGCTTACGGCTCGTACAGACTAAACGTCACAAGAATCTTACAATGAAACACTCAACATTGAAATTGCATTCAGATAAATACTTATAACTTGTGAAAGTTAATTTAAAGGTAGAAGACGATCACCAGAATTTGTTATTTCATTTTGTGTATATATAGGTCTATTCAGATTTCAATTACTAAAACAAAGAAAATGAGAAGATGAAGATCAAAGACTAACCTAATTCGTCAAAGTCCCACTATGCAGTCACAGATTGTTTTACGTGGTAAAACTACAATTATAAGATTATTAAAAATTAACCTAATTCATCAAAGCCCCACTATGTAGTCACAGGTTGTTTTACATGGTAAAAACAACAATTATAATAGTATTAAAAATTAAGGGTGCTTACAACCTCTAATTTAGTTCTTAAAAGAAAATTTTCAAACTTTCATTTAATCTCCTGTTTTAGACCTTATCACACCATCATCCAGATACATCATATTACCAGATATATTGGGAAAGCACATTTTGATATCTCAGGTGTAGTGCTTTGTCACTTTGGCCCAATTTCTATAGTATGAGATTACTTTTGGCATTTATTACACCATCGGCTCTGTTACTAACACTTGTTACCAACAGTGGATACACATCAGGGGAAATATGCTATTTCTCATCTTGCTCATTTGTTTGTT